GAGGGTGCAAATTTTAGAAAAATATTAATAACAGTTTACCTGTCAACTAATGAATAGTGAATCGGCAGAAATTTGAGAATCAAGAATACAAATGCAAATTAAAAACTTCGGGAAAATTCTGGAGCATATTACACATAATTGATGAAAATTTACACGTACCTAACGGATCTTTTATGAAACTGCGTAGTATAAAAGGAACAAACTCAACTAGTTGATTAACATTTTCGTACAATCGTTGGTCGATAAAGTATAAAAGCAATAAAATTAGAACCGAAATATAAATTGAAAAAAAAGTTTTAAAGTGTATTAAATTTAAAAGGATAATCGATATTTTATAAAAAAGTAAATAATATATTTACTGCGCTAAAAAAATAAATTATATTTACTACTTTAAAGTAATAACAAATAAATTTACCACATTAAAGTAATAAATTTCATATATTGAAACTTCAATTTATAAATAATAAAAAGTAATATTAACAAAATGGATGACGAATACATTAAAATTACCTTCCGCAATGGAAAAACAGTTTTTTCTACTTACTTAAAACGTTACGATAATTTCTTGGTCTTAAGGCAAGCAGTGGAGCACCGAATATGCTCGATATTGGATCGCAATATCCCAAAAACTGATTTCACTTTTTTCTGGGAAGGTGAGTTTGTGAAAAATAATTATCAAATAAAACAATTACAATATTTTGTGTTGTACAAAGGATAAAAGTGATATCAATATTAGTGCGTATTTTTTTTTAATACATTAAGAGCTACTTTCCGGTTGTGTTTAGTGTTCTCTGGCAGTAGTTTTGTGATTTCATCATTAAGGCTAATACATTTGCAATTTATTTGTTTTTAAACACATTTACAAGGGACAGCAATAACAATAATTACAATTGAAAAAAAAGTAGAGAACACAAGGGCTACATCTAGTGACCAACATAAACTCAGTTACATTGGTCTTTAATCATGACTTGAAGTCAAGTTTTGAAGTGATCTCCCATGACGAAGATGATGTTGAAATACTGAAATACTCTTCCGTTTCATGTTAAAGCTATTTAAGTCAGTGCACTTAAGCACTTTTACTCTTTTTTAACTCGAGGTATTTTCAAAACCCCTCTTTACACCTTTATCGTATTATGGCAACCTTTAATTACTAAAAAAAGTGATCAACTACACTTTCTGTTATAAAGAAAAAATCTTACACTCCTACTCCACAAAAAATTTATTAACATAAAAATCTGTGTTGTCTTAAATTGGCTTTTGTGTAGTGTATTATATAAATACGATTATAGTTCTGTAGTATACTCTGATAACTCTAATAGAAATATAGTATAATATACTCTCTATATACTTCAGCATAGTATTATAAAATGTATAGTTTGAGTGAAACTATTTATACAAGACCTCCTAATCTCATTATAATCTATTATCACCTTTGTCGACTGAAAAGAAGAGTGGCCTCAAAACACTTTGGTCGTTAAATAACTAGGTGATTAAGTATATAATACGCGTGAATAAAAGGGTTCCATAAAAACTATATTTTTATATTGATAAAAATCTATACACTAAGTAAGCAATAAACTATATTATTCACCCTGTATCTCTATTATTCATAACTTATGATAAATGAATGATTTAATATATAGTACACAAATGATAAGTCTATCAGATATATATAACTATACATATGTATGTCTAAAGTGAATCCCAAAAATATAGTTAAACCTTAACTAATCAATATGGACTTTAATAATAAACTGACAGAAAATTTAATATGCACCAAAATAAAAAATAAAAAATATTTACAAAACAGACCACTTTATCATATCACCTATTTTTATCAGAATTTCATAACAAATCTACTAATTTAGAATGAGTCATATAAATTGTTTTGTATACTTTAATGGTTTAATATTTACAAATATAGAATGAATAGTCCAAGAACAGATTTAAGGCGCAAGAGATACATAACTCAGAAGCAGCTGATGTGTACTTGCGAACGAAGATAATAGAAAAGACATATAAATAATTATTTTTTAGTTTATTTTTGTTTGTTTTATTTTTAACTTCTGATCTTTAGACATTTCTTTTTTTAGTAAAAAATAAATGAAGTAGTTTACATATTATATTTGCGGTTTTCGAGACAGTAGTATAGTTTTTCATATATCATTCTATCGCTATCCCTTTTTATATACTGAAAATGAATCGGAAATAAATATAGTTCTTCTTTTTCATATAGAAGAATTGAAAGTCATTGCTTTAAAAGAACTTGTTAGTGTTAATTTATTGAATACTAAATAAACCTGATAACCCCACTCCACCTCAGAATGGTTTTCTTTGTCTTGCAATAAATTTTTGCATACAGAATTTTAAGCTAATCGTAATATTTCATACCTATTTTGTTAGATACTAAATGTATAAAGTATGAAATAAAAATTTTGTTTTTAGTTATTTTAAAAATTTTTTAAAAAATTATTAAAGCCATTTATATAAGAAAATATTATTAACAATTACTAAAAATAATTGAACTATTTTTTTATAAACAAGCAATAAACAATTTAAAGTGTTATTGTTTTTGTAACCTATAACTTTTGTCCATAAAGGATCCATAACTTTGGTCTCAATTAAGAGATGCATTTAACCTGTCATTGGTTAACCTATGGCAATGTTATTTCACCTTTAAAACAACAGTTTTGCAACTTAATAGTTCAATTAGAATTACTGTTACTAACATTGAAAATATATTTCTCCTAAAGACAACTTTTTAGCATCGCTTAAAATGGAGGAGAAAATTGACGTTATCCATTCTGTAATAAATTAAATAAAAAAGTGGTGATTTAGATTGTCACTGTTGAAGAAATGCAGGGCACTCTAAAAAAGGAATACTAGCAATTCAATTTAATCACAATTCTATAATTTCATATGTTATTGTTCAGGAGTAATTACATCAAAACCATGATCATTAAGAATACAAGTTTAAAGACTTACGTCCTAGATGGACAACATCTCTCACTGATATCTTAACAGAGTTTAATATTCATTGCTCTATCTTAGAGTTTCCGGACATAAACATAATGTTAGTAACTCTTAAATAATAAAGCTGATCATAACTATGGTTTCAGAGCTGACGGGTCACTGTGTTATAGGAAGACATGCTATAAAATTGAGTCTACTCTCTATAATAACTTTTGCCGAAGTTGTAGTTCTGCGTATGTGTAGGAAACTGTGTTCCACCTCATGTGTTAGTGTTTATCTTTGGGTAGAAAAAGATTTAAATTCTTCGAAGCTCCTTTTCTTACCGACATAACCCAGCTGTCATCCTGCAAAATCAGGGACTTAGCCAAGTTTATGTAATTGTCAGGTTAGGTCATCTTTACCTAATAGGAGAGTCGTGCTTTCTGTGTTGCTCGTACGCTATACGAGCGTACGTATAGTAGTATAAACGCTACTATAACAGGTCACTATATCAGGTTAAGTCGGCTGGGGGCACAAGGCCGCCACTCCATCCAAACTTAGCTTAACTGTTAAATAAATAATCTTGGACTAAGTGTTATAGCATAACAGTTGATACAGTAAAAATGAAGTCTACATACTTGAAAACTATTTCTTAGAATATAGTTTTTATAGATATAATAACCTCTTAGATTTTTTAGTTTTAAACGATTTTAGTTAGAATAGACATGAGAGATTGACAATTTATGGACCCGTTTCTACTAATCTAAATGTACTAATGTTGTGTCAAACTGCACTTAGAAATCACATCGGTAGTTGTTGTGTAGTTTGGCTATACCAGACTTAAGTGGAATAGTGTTGGATACATTAATGTGTCGGCTTATTACCTGAGAACACATATGCAGAAAACTGTATATGTGTTAAGGACCGTCAAAGTTTATCCTACTCTGCCTCTTTATCTACTACAATGTCTATCCATGTCTTTATAGGTTAATAGTAAGAAGATATATATTATCTGAGTGCTATCAGATGTGTATCAACCACAATTTTTAAATATTGAAAAACTATATTAAATAGATGTTCTATTCAATTTTTATTAACTAATGTTTATCAAAATATTTGTTTTCTTATTCCAGACACTGATAGCGATCCAATTGAAATATTTGATGTATTTGATTATGATATTTTCCTTAAGAAATGTGTAAAGAAACCGCATTTATTCGTTTCACTCTCATCAAACACGGAAACTGATGGTGAAGTAACTGCGGAAAAAGTGCCTAATAACAATGCTACGCCATCGACCCCTAAGAACGACTCTACACACGAACCAAAACTCAGCAATGAAGTACATGAATATGTTACTTGTGACAATTGTTCGGCTACTCCAATTACTGGTTTTCGGTACAAATGTTTGATCTGTCCTGATTATGATTTGTGTCAGATTTGTGAACAAAAGCAAGCGCATAAAGAACATATTATGCTTCGTTTGCCGAATGTTGCTTCTCGCGCATTTATTGATTATCGTGGCTTCTGTCGTACTAAGCGAAACAAGAATTGCAATTACGACTTTGGTGTGCCAATAGTGGATACTCCTACTGGTAATAATGAAAATACAGAAACTCCTAGAGATCGCCATCACCATCATCGTGGGCATAGATATCACCGCCGTATGCGCCATGGATTCTTTAATAATTTATATGATATAATGCATGATTTAGCTGAGGGTGGTGCTGGTGGAGCTCGAACTAATAATAATGCATCTTCAAATGCTGAAACGGCAAACGCTTCTCAGCAAGCTTATGAATCTGGCTTCGAAACACCAGAAGAATTAATTGAAGAAAGCGTAGCTTTGGCTGCTGAAGCTGCAAATGCAGCAGCTGCTAAAGCTAGAGAAGCAGCAGCTAACGTTATGTATAATATACAGAAGGAAGCTGCTAAAAATGCTGCTTCATCAAATAATGACAATAAGAAAAAAGAAGTAAGTTAAATTTAAATTTTTATTTGTTTTTCAAATAGAATAAGACATTTTTAATCTATTATAGACTACTAATGATGACTCATCAAAAACACCACCATCAACACCTGGTAATATGGAAACTGATGCTGGTAATGCTAATGGCAACAATACGGAAGAAGCCGTCCCTGTTCTTCCTCCAGGTTTAGCAAACTTCGTTAATCCAGCTTATATGAAAGCTGGCATACAAATTTTAAATAATTTCAATACGATGTTTGCTAAAATGTTGGACCCTACAGATGTTAGTAACTTTGCAGGATCAAATGTAGACATGGGTTTCAACTCAAACATGAACTCAAACTCAACTGGTGGTTCAACTCCAACTTCTACTACTGGAAATCAACAGCAAAATCAAAATACAACTTTTGTCGAAGCTACCACTTCAGCCGCAGCTGCAACAGCATCTACAGCTGCCACTTCAGCCGCAGCTGCAACAGCATCTACAGCTGCCACTTCAGCCTCAGCTCCAACAACATCTGCAGCTGCAAACGGAGCTACAGAATTAATGACCGATGATAAGCGTGACATTTTAAAGAATTCTGAAGATCGTCGTGTTTCGCAAACTGAGGAAATGGATTGGCAATTAGTAGATAAACAAGTTGAGCAAAATTCAGCTGGTACAAGTTTTGAAGATGTTTCTTCTGTATCTAATGAATCCACAAATACAAACAGTGCTACTGCTAGCGTTGATGCGGCAATTGAAATTAATTATGAACAACTTAGTAATGCATTGAAAGAACATGTAAGGCAAGAACAATTACTTGAAGAAAATCTCAGGTCTCAAATGGTAATTGATGAAAATAATGAAGCCAAAACTGTTGGTACTCAAACACCAAAAGCTACTACAAGCGAAGCAGGTAATACCACTGCAAATCAAACAAATGAAGCTGGTACAACAACAGAGCCGATGCAAACCAATGTTTCTCAACCGATTGCAATGGCAGATACAACTCCAACTGCTCCTACAGCACCAGTTGTTACTAGCAATACACCAACAACTTCAGATCCACTTACTCCGCCTGAAACACGTGCTGTCCCAGTTTATCATCCAGGTTTGTTTTAATATTTTTTGAATGTATTCTTAGATTAAGTATAATATTGTAGAAACACATTTGATTAGTAATTACGAATAGATCGTATTTATATATATAAAGAGATAAGTTTAAAATCTAAATTCCTTTTATGAAATACATTATTAATAATTAATTTTTTTTAGAAAGTTTATAACTTGATATTAATTGATTTTTATCTTTTTTAGACAAACGCATCAATGCCTCTGTGCTTGCTATGATGGCTATGGGATTCAGCAATGAGGGTGCTTGGTTGACACAGCTGCTCGAATCTGTAAATGGTAACATACCAGAAGCTTTAGATTTTATGAGTGTTGCACAAACCGGCAATAATTAAGTGCAGTGATCGATTTACGAAATTTTAAAAACAAATTAAATTTCATTTTAGATTTTAAGTAATATTATTATAATATACAAATAACCAAAAAAACATACATGTTTATATAAGGAATATGTAAAATATTGGTGTACTGATTTTTTGTTTCACAAATTTTTGCTTTTGTTTCTTATTTTCCTTTATTTTTATATGTAAGATTTTTTGCTTTATTATTCCGTATATAATTAATTATATTAAAAATGTTAAACATCACTTTTTAATTAATAAAAGTATATAATTATGGGCGCAAATATCTCTATATAACTCTATTAATATTTGCATGTTTGATTTAATCTCGTGTTAGAAATTTCATTTTTATTGCGAAAACACATATATATAAATCTATATTATAATCGTATATTCTTATTACTTGATATATATATACCTTATATATAACGAGCATGTAACTCAAATTAACGGAATTAACTCTTATGTCCACCTTAAGAAATGTTTATATATATATCATTAAATAAATTAATTAAAATTATATTAATTAAAAAAATTGTTTAATTTTATTCACTTGTTAGTCTTTTTTAATATACTATATACAAAAAAATAACTGAAACCAGTTCAACTGCCCTTCTCTATTGAAATCTGCTAGGTTGGAGTGGCAAAAAGCTGACCTAAGCACAAATAATCAACCGTTGATATACCACGGATGAGATACCGTACGGCATCTCGAGCAGATGCGATTCTCCCCTTAAATAAGTAAAAGGAAACTAAACTGGCGAGTTTACGAGTAGCGGCTTTGTGAAATCCACTATTTTAAACTTGTTTTCATTTGATCAAATTGTGGATTTTTTAACTCACTAATATTACCCTTGGCTAGAACGGAAAAGTAATTAAAAGTACAATGGTAATGGAATGAACTGGCACACAACACAAGCTCGATTGTATGATACCATATAGATGATTGAATGATACCATGGAGTATGGTAGCTGATATTATTATTTATATCGTATTAGTATGGTAGTTAACAGCATGACCAATGAAGACTGGTAGAACATCGATAGCCACAGAACCAATTTTTAGCCTTAGCTTTGAAGAATTCTTTCGATGTGTTCAATGATAGAAAAAGATGGTCCGCAGTGGAAATTTGCAAAAAGACGAAAAACTTTAAAAAGTAACTTGATATTGTAAGGTGACCTTATTCCTGTAATTAAAAGACCTCAGAGAAGTATTGATCATATTGAAAACACAGGTGGACATTACATGAACACTGTGTGTATTATTGCAAGGGTATGTAGGCAATACAGAGTATTTTGTGTTATTGCCCAGCATTTTCAAAAATCCAAATGAGATTGGCTGAGGTTTTAAATTGTCCTCATGCAAATTTATCTACAAATATCAATATAACTATCAAACCTGTTCCATTGTACTGGTCCCATACTTTGAAGGTCGCATATAACATCTGCAGAAAGCTACAAACATTTTTAGAACAGTACCTCAGCATTGTTTTTCACTTAAAGGATATGTAAAGTGATTCGACTGATTCTTGAATAATACCTACCGGCTCTCTTTTAATTCATTAATAGACAAAAACGAATACAATTTATATTTTGTAGTTGACTAAAAACTTAATTTATCATTTATTTTATTTGGTTTGATTTAAAAAAAAATATATATATAAATAACCCGTAGGAGGTGTTGAGTTGGATTTGAAAAGAAATTATACTAAAAATACTTAAAGTTTATACTGTCATAGTCATTAAAAAAAAGATACATCACATCTATTTTCAGTTCTGTTTTTCTTTCTTGGCTCCAAATAACTTTACTATTAATTTACGTAGCATTGAAAACGAAGCTATCACAGGTACCATGATGGGCAGGAAAAGTGGAATGTAAATTGCATATTTTTGTTCGTCCGGGAAATAGAGTTGTGCCAAGAGAGTGGAATCGAAAAAGGCATGCTCCGAAGAGGTGAAAGCAATTTTTGCATATTTGGAGGAGCTGACCAAATCGTTAGCTTCAAGCGCACTTTTGGCCAGTAGAATGTGTTCATATGCGGTATTAATGGATGTACCTACATCATCGTTTATGACTATATAACTGATATTGTCTAGATTAAAAGAAAATAATTTTTATATATTAACAATATAAATAATGACTTATTTACCTAATAATTTAATTAAGCTTTGCAATGTGTTTGTTGCAGTTGTGATATGTGTGATGGTGCTACGCCTAATGTACGACTCATATTCCCAACGACGTGGCGATATTTGCTCAAGTGCAACTGTTTTCACAGATGGTATATTAAACTATAAGTAGAAAATAAATTTAAATAAAATATAAAATTATATATAAATTGTAAACGACTAACCTCGATACTTATGTCTAAAAGTTTGTGTAATTGATGCAACATGATTTGCATTATATCATTGGTGTTCACATAGAATTGCACGGGTTGTTGATTTTCATTGTAAGCTAAGCATGTTTCCTCGGGTGGATTTGCTATGATTATTCCACCCCACTTTTGTGAAATAAATGAGTCTACATTATGCTTCGTAGCTATATTACCATGTCGATTATATATATGAATGGGTGCAATACTACAAGGTGGTATATACACTACCAAATTAATGGGTGATTTATCAGTAATGCCAACACCTAAATTCTTTTCAATTGATGTTATTATATGTGGCAGGGATGTTTCAGATAAAGCATAATGACGTCCAAGTTTGGTAGTATCACGTTTTTGTTTAAGTTCTGCTTCAAATGCTAATTGATATTTCCATTGTGATTTTAATGTAAAATTCGATACACCGGATACGTCTCTTAAAAACGGAGCAAGATATGCTGGAGAGAAATAAAAACAAATAAAGAGAAATTATGACTGATAGTTATAAAAATTTTAGTTTACTTTCAATGGCCATTTGTACATTCCATTTTGCATCCATTATTTCAGGATTGGGATTCAGCACAGACACTATAACATCATACTCAGCTTGAGGCGCTTCAGACTTAGTAGCATAACGCTGATCCGTGGTCAATATTTGTTGAATGCGATGCGTTTGTAATATTAACAAATTAATAACGCTTTTAATTTTATTAGCACCTAAAATTTGAGATTGTATTATTTTTATAAATATTGATTTAAGAGATTGCAATATAATATGTGGGATTAAAAATTATATTTTTGTTACTGAGAACTTTATAAATCAAAGGTTTGGTTTTAATATTCAATTAATTTGGTTATAAATGTTATAACTTTCAGTTACTTTAAGGTACTTGCTGAAATCTGAAATATATAACTCGATAAAAATATTAGTATATTGATTCATTCTCCTCTCCTAACAGCTCTCATTCTCCTAACAGCGACTCCAAAAACTGATTTTATAATTAATTTACAATAAGAACATATAAACCCGATATAAATTTCTACAGCTTTGAACTTAATAAAATTGAACTCAATAGAATTACTTGTATCTGTCCTTATTAAAGCAGAGCGTTCATTAGTTAGCAAAACTTCCTCCTCCAATCGTGGCCATTCAATAAAAATGAAATCACCAACTTTTAACTGATGCTGCTTTAATATATAATTTTCCAGACCAGCTGGTGTTTTTGCTTCATTCGCTTTCTCGAATGGTAAAATTTGAACGAATTTAACATCCCACAAGCCTAGTTTGAGAGAAAACAATCAATTATATCAGTATATACTACATTTATATTAAAACTTACTATTATCTGCAAAAGCCTCATTTAATTCACTTATAAGCAAAGATGATCGCTCCTTTTGAAATGTGAATATTCCAATACTCACAGAGGTTTTAATAGGATTTTCACTTAAACCTAAAATATTGTAAGATGGTAGAGACACCCTGAAAATAATATATATGCATGTAATATATATTTATTTATATTAATTTTTTTTTTTAAATTTTACCTATAAACCTCTGTTGTCTTCCACCACATCGGTATGCCAATTAGAATTACCACAATCATAAAAGACATAGATGAGTACATCCGATATTTATCTGTAAATAAAGTGAGATAATTCGTGAGCAAGTACTTCATATAAAGTTAGAATTTTGGTTTTGTTAGAAGTTCATTACCTAAGATCTAGCAATAAATCAAGAGATTAAAATGTCTTAACATATCTACAAAAATCTTCATCTATCATTGAATATGTACATAAAAAATTTCGGAGGGTGTATGAGCTTGCGATTGTTGTATTTAGAATTGGGATTGAAGGAAGATGAAGCCAATTCAGAACTAGGACCAGTTTGTTTGTTGGCTTGAGTAGAACTGAAGACACTGAAGTGTCCAGCAAAAGCTAACTAAACTGCGTCAGTTTTATACTGAGCTTTGCATTCTTGTGATAAGTGTGGTGGCATTTGTCGTACCTAAGTTAATTTCTATGTGAGGAATCAGAAGCGCAACATTCATTCCTCATCAAGTAAACAAAAAATGCTGGGTTCAACTTGACTCTGGTGATCATAGCTGAATCAGCATAAACATTTCAAGTGCATTGAAGCTGTAAGTTAGCTTGAAATACACTTGAAATAGTGTAAACAGGAAGCGTTACTTTGTGTGTAGGACTAATTCCTAAACAAAAACTGTGATATTGCGCTTTGTCTTTTATTTTGTTTAAAGACAAAATTTGGGCTGACAAATATATGGGATAAATCCACATAACACACTTCCTTAATATACTAACATGAAGGCAGTGGATTAATAATGGACTTATAATTAACAAAACTGTAATTACAAATTTCGTTTAGTGGGCTTTGCATATTATAACACATTCAATTTTAAAATATTTTTAATCAAAAGAACATTTCCTTTTAATTATTTATATACCATTAACTCATAACTCAATTTCATACATTTAGATAGCATCTAGTTTGTGCTTAAATTTGACTATATTCAATTAGTTTAAACATCAGTAGTTTATGAAGGAATAAACATTATTCTCTGTAACTGCAGGAAATAATAAATACTGGTCCTCCATTGAGCGGAATGTTACGTGAAACGTATTTGGAGAGTTTTGTGGTGCCTACGCAGCGATAAACAATAAGCGAGTTATCCACTGGTGTTAAGGTGAGTAGTACTATCATAATCATGTCAGTGGCAAGATAAGTTATCACACCAGCACCAACTGCTTCATTTAAATAATAAATTAAATCTAATGTGTTCTCCTCGCACCTAGAACTGTGTAATTCTCATGCGCCCCGCGTTGTATTTTAAAACTACCATATGTTTCTAATTTCAAAAGAGAGAGTATCGGATCTAGCTCTCTCTGACTACTAAGTATCACTCACCAACTTTCGTCAATGTTTCATTGTTTACGGGAAAGCAAATTAAGTAAATTTACGCAAGAATAGAGAAACAAACTGGGTACAATAAGCTTAAATCTGTATCATCTTTTACCAATGACTATTCAACCTTTGTAAGAAATTTTTTTAGTTGAGTACCAACAATTTAGATCCAGTCATTTAAAGTTTATCGTTTTTCCATTATATCCTCTTTTACCAAATATTATTCAATCTTTGTAAGAATTTTTTTTAATTCCGAACGAACAATTTAGAACCAGTCAATTAAAGTTAATCGTTTTCCTATTTTATAGTAAATTTTGCATATCTTTTTATCCATGGCTTTATCGCCCTTTATTAGAATTTGTATTGGTTCAAAACTGTGTGGAGGGCTATAAGTTTACGTTTATATTCGATCTCACTGATGTTAGCTCCATTCAAAAGGTGTTGACGAATGCATCCAAAAGTTAGGACTCTGCTAGTTGAGATGGTAAAATTTTTTCCAAGAACCGTATAAAGTAACTGTAAAATAGACTGACTAAATATTTTTCTATAGATTATTTCGAGATTGTTTGGTATATAAATATTTCTGTATTTCAGTAACCTACGTCATAGGTGGGAAATTATCATTCACTGCTTCGACTATCATTCTCCATGAATACCACAGAGAAGTTAACCCGATGATATCTAGCAGTATAATTTACACGTTTAACACTTTATATATATGATTTCATTATTGGTGACTTTAAATATCTTGAAATATCATCCAATTTTAACATATGTTTTCTCAGACTGCTCTCAGACTCAAACTACACTTAAACAGAACGGGTCTGCAGACCGTTGTTGTGATTAGGATTATGATTAAAAGAAGTCACAGGCAAACAAGAACAGATCCGATATATTTAACTATTATAAAAACAAACACACACTAACTTAATATATGGACATGAAGACAATTGATTAACAATGGATATATAATTAACAAAACTGTAATTATAAATTGAGAGTAGTGTGCCTTACAAATATTAACACATTAAGGACGTGTGCGAGTTAGGCTAAGTTGATGCTAAACCAAATGGGAGATTTTTTGGGATTTTTTGCACTGCACACATTTTGCCATTTATCAACACGTATCGACACATCAATACATTATCGACACAACTTAGAACTTCCCTCATTTAGAACGCAACTTAGCCTAACTCGCACACGACCTAAAATTCAAAATATTTTTAATCGAATAAACATTAACTTATTTTTAATATTTTATATATTATTTACGTCAACTTAATTTAGTTTACAACAAATGTTTTTTTTTATTAAACGTCATAAAAGTTGGTAGTATCTAGTTTGTGCTCAAATTTGACTACATTTAATTAATTTAAACATTAGTAGTTAACGATAGAGTTAAAATTATTCTTTGTAACTGCAGGAAATAACAAATACTGGTCCCTTATTAAGCGGAGTATTACGTGAAACGTATTTGGTGAATTTTGTAGTGCCCAGGCAGCGGTAAACAATATTAAGCGAATTATCTACTGGCGTTAAGGTGAGTAGTACACTTTCATCATCACTATCATATTCATTATTATGCATCGCTTCATCGATTTCTTCGGCGTCAGGCGCAAGATAAGTTATCACACCAGCACCATCTGCTGCATTTAAATAATATATTAAATCTAAAGTGTTCTCTTCGCAAATGGCATTATCGCCTAGAACTGTGTAGTTCCCATGCGTCCAGCGTTGTATTTCAAAATTAAACATTGGAGTTTTAGCATTATCGCCTGCTAAATCCAGATCAGTGTACTTACGCAACAAAGCAAACATTTCTTTGCTAGAGAATAATTTTATAATGTCGTCTAATGTACTGCTTGCTGAGCTTAGCTGTAAGATTTCATAATAACGTGCATTAGCTGGACCCTGACGCTGCCAAATAAGTGAATCGTCCGTTTTTAATTGTTTTAAAGCAGCTTCAAATATTTCTTGTTTAAAAAATTCGTACAGACAAATTTCTGAATTGGTTTCGATACGTTCCTGTATCTTGGCACAAGTGTCAGGTGTAATGTACACTTCATTTACAATTTCGGCTACATTCACTTGAACATCTTCTGGTACTTTAAATATTATATCATTTAATGGTCGCAAGGAGTTTGCTATAAGTTCATCGTTCGACGTGCCATGAAACCAACCATTGATTGTCAAACGGGGATAATCAAAATTAGTTACTTCGCCGACTTGATGAAATGAACGCGAACCAACTTTGAAAAACGCAAATTGATTATTCTTTGGCGAAATTTTTCGATTAACAGGAAATTGTGGAAAAAAACTTTCATCGCTGTTAAAAATTTCTAAACAGCCTCCTTGTTCTTCGGTCCATTCCTCAGCATTAGTCCAAGGAGAAAGGTAATATATAAAAGCAATTTGACGATCTTTTAATAGATCATCATGAACCAGCAAAAAATCACCACAGGTGTACATTGAACAGGATGCCGATACATAATCCAATTTTAGATTAGTTACCTTCTCCAACCAGGGACGCACATTACGACGTAACATATATAAAAAATTTGTTAAATATTTACATTCTGACATGTTCGAGAGGTCGGTGCTTTGATAAAATTCATATAAGTCCATCTGTTTTCTTGACCAGTGTACTTTGTGTACCATTTCATCAACTAATTTCCTGCAACTATTTTTATCCTGCAATAGCTTTGGCATAAGACATATTTGAAATGGTTTAAAATATACTTCCGCATCACTCTTATCGTGTTTGTAATCATTTTCCTGATTTGAGTTCCAAACTGTTGTCAACATATTTGTAAAATCCTTCGTCGCATAGTGTGGATTAAGACTTAAATCTAAATCGTTATTAGTTGTTATGTGTACTTTAGGTTTTTTGTTGGATGGTTCGCTTGTATCAGATGCAGGAGTATCTGAAAGAATGAAAAACACTTTATTTTTACAAAAACATATAATAACAGTAGGTTATACCTTAGAACGTATCTAGAAAGGAATCAGCTACTTGCGTTTATCTTGAGTATTTAAATGTATTAAGCACACTTGCACATAGAAACAATTTTAACAAATCACTATTACTTTTCACAGTTTTTTACTTTATTGGAATAGTTCCTTGTGTGATGAAATCGAAGTTAAACAAACCCAATGTAAGACTGACTGCCTTCACAAAAAGCAGCTCCGTAATATATTGCAATACTTGATATACGTCAAATATATTGTAATGCTGCCTTTAGAAAGCAGCTAGTGGTATTAACGTCTTTAACGAATATAAAATTGGTATTATAATACTAAAGTGTGCTAATAAATTACATGTACTGAAAGCTGTTATCAGAGCTGGTAATTGTAGAGTAAATATAATATTGATAAAGCACGGCTATGTGCCTATAAAACAGTCGCAAAATGTGTTACAGATCTTAAGTTTTTTTTTATTTAATTGTAAAAAAAACTATCCAAATACTTAAATGCAATTTTTCTTAATTTTTATTTAAATTTTTAATTAAATTAAATTCAGCAATTTGAAACTCAATGTGATATGTATTAGTTTCATTATAAACTACACTTACCCTCTTCAATATCGGCATCATCGTATTCTTTTGTCACACTTTTCCTTTTTACTTCATCCATTTGTTCAAAAATATTATTATATTTAAGGAAATAAGTTGAATTTGATACGAAAACCTTTTACTTCATAAAACAATGTAAACCTTTAATAAACATGCAAAAGCCGAATTGTCAAAAAAATTGCGTGATAACAATATCGGTAAGGCAGTTCATAATGTGTTCGGGAAAAGTGTCATTAATTTGTATTAAAATTAAGTTAATATAATAGCAATACATTTATATTATATAAAAAAACAAAAATAAATTATAATTTCTTTAATTAATAGTTTAGTTAATAGTAATTTGCATATTTTTACTACTTTTAATTGCACTCAAGTACTTACATAAAATGAAATGAAGTTGTAGTTGCCCTCATTTAGGATTTCGTATGTCCTGCGGTTATTAAACGCGGTACGATATTTTGTCATAAACTTAGTGTTTCGCATAGTGTAAATCATGCATTTATACAATTAAAGTCACACTTGATAATTGGACATGTAGAAGCATCTATAATATAGGACGTGTGCGAGTTAGGCTAAGTTGATGCTAAACCAAATGGGAGATTTATAGGGATTTTTTGCACTGTACACACATCACTACATTATCGGCACAACTTAGAATTTCCCTCATTTAGAACACAACTTAGGTCGTGTGCGAGTTAAGGGCTAAGTTGATGCTAAACCAAATGGTAGATTTTTTTGGGATTTTTTGCACTGCACCATTTAGCCATTTATCAACCACGCTATCGACACATCACTACATTATCGGCACAACTTAGAATTTCCCTCATTTAGAACACAACTTAGCCTAACTCGCATACGTCCTATATTTGAAAATTCTAATAGTTATGGTAGCTTGGCTACAGTATCACAACTGACCATTATTTGTGCTTTAGTGTAAAAGGTTTGTGCTTCAATCTTTTCTATGGTAGATAATATAAATAATATGTAAGTAGTATAGCGACTTCAAACACCATAATCCTTCGTGGACTGTTTAATTACATAGAAATGTAAAGACAATCTCAAATACTGAGATATTCATGCATTTCTACGAGCCGCAGCATTATTAATGATAAAGCTGATTTAGACATATGTATGTATGTCACTAATTTACGATAGAATAAAATTGAAGATTAAGTAAACATCAATAAAACAGAATTCTTGAATTCGTTAAGTTAAGAACCTTGTTCTTCCATTTGGCAATAAATATGCATTTTTTCTCAGTAAAATGTTGTCCACACTGTTATTAAATTCCTTAACGAACATATTGATCTGTGTATAGTATATAAAAATTGGTTAATGCGATGCGACAGATAATTCTCTTTATCTAAAAAAGAAAAAATGTAAATGCCAGTCACATTCTCAGTTATGCTTGAACGCTCAGCTCCTGGCCACTGAAACAAAAGTTTTTGTTTGTTGAAATTTCCCTTTTAAATATATTCTGCTGCATTCTGATGCACTATATCTACTATTGCTAAGCTATCATACTAGCTTGGCTACCATACTATCTACTATGGCGTAAATTGAGGTAAAGAAAATTGAAATTTCCTAGGGATTTTTTGCACTGCACTTATGTAAATATTTATTTATTGCAATTATTTATTATTTTTGGTTAAAAGTTTTCAAATTTATTTATTTATTTATTAAACATCTTATAAAATTTGCACAATGGTAACACCTAATTTGCCTAATTTCTATTTAATTTACCCTACTCGAAATTCGTGTAAATACCAACATTTGCTGCCATACCGAGCTAATTTACTATTTCCCTCAATTTATCAAATCTACTAAAATCCATAAAAATACATAAAATCCATAGACGTACCCAGGCAATCGGAACCGTTTTTTTTTTACTTTATTCTTATATTAAAAAAAACAATAAATAATATTTTATAAATTATTTTATTTATTATTTATTAGCTGCACGTAGTTAATCAGATAAATTAAAATTCTAATAATGCTAGGCAAGTGGTAACAACATTTACTCTTACAAAATTTAATAACTTTAATACAAGTAAAAATAATGGCAAAAAGACTAGCAAAAAATACATTATTGGGTAAAAAAAATACATTATCGGATAATTAAATGCTTAATACAATAATTGAAAAATTACTCATTTTCTATAAAAACACTATCAGAACTTTTAAATCCATTATCAGGGGAGATGCTATCTCTTTTCATAGCAAGTTGATAGGCAACCTCAAATGCTTGACCTAAAGTCAAAATTATTTCTGATGCCAATTCCTGCAATAAAAATGATTAATTCAACACTAAGTACTTTTAAGAAAGTTCAACACTCAATATACTCACCAAATTGTCTACCATAAAAACATGACAATAATGTATGTCGTCTTCTTTGGTTATATATGCAAAATACCGCAGATCTTCCGAATCTTGGCAGACACAATTAATATTTTCAATATCATGCAAACAAATAGTGTTCTAAAAGAATATAAAATAAAATAATTTATAACTATTTATTAATAATTTAATTTATTTATAACAACCTTATTAACATTATCCATAAATTTTACGCCCATATGTGATATGGCGATTCCAACTTCTAAACGTGTCTGTTGATGGTTTGTCTTCACATACTTCGTGGTTGTATTACAATCTTGTAATAAATTCACCTCTAAGTCATTGCCGACCATATTTTCATTTCGTTTCAGCTTCTGTATTGACTTACGTGTAGAAACCGTGCCTTGCAGTACCTTGATAAGCGTAGAACCGAGATACTGAAAAAGTTAAAGATTGGTAAATTTTATAGAAATGAAATTCTTTGTCACTTAAACTTACATAAACGTTATACAAAATTTGTCCATAAATTAATGTATTTGGAGAATGGCACCAATTGGTTGATAAATTACTAGAGATACCTAAAGCCAGATCAGAGGGTTTACGCATTTTAAATTCATTTTGCGTCACTGACTTTGCAGGCAATACGTCTTTTAAGTTTAATGTATTTTTTTCAGTATTCTTTTCATTAGCATTGAACACCTCCATACCGATGGATTCGAAAATTGTATTAATCTCTTCCCACTCTTTGGATTCATTTAAATTTTCAATTGGCGGTGTAGATTTTTGTGTAACAAAATTTCGCTTTGCTGGTACGGGTTTCATAAGAGAACGTACTAGGCTGGGTGAACGTAAAACACTTGAACGTCGATCTAATATGCTATATTCAACTTCATCCATATGTAGATTAAGTGTAGACCCTTTAAAAAGACCTGTAAAAAAGATTTTATATATAGTTTATTTATTAATAATAGGCTTGTTACTGGCATATATTATTTGAATCTCACCAGCAAATGGCACTTCACTTATAAACTCCTCTAAGCAGTCGGAAGCACGTAAGCTGTGCGACTCCCCCGATTCTGCTGCAGATTCGGGGTTATCGTTATCAATACTCTCATTTATTCTTAATTTTATAGATGCACGTTGCATATCCATATTACGCGGATGTATAAATTCATGTATAGTAGATTCTGCTTCTGCAACTGTTGGCGGTGGAAATTCTGGAGTTGGCGAATGTGCTTTATTGTTGTTAGCATCGTAAATCTTGCTTTTTAGCTTACTAAATATAGAAATCGATTTTTACTTCAGTATTATGAGTGACATTTTTATAATAACTTACAAATCCCTTTCAGCTTTGTTAGAACTGACTACAGAGTTAATATTTGCATAATCCCCATATTCAGCAGATTTTTTATATTCGAAATTACGTGGACTAGGAAAAGGTTTTTTCAATTTTGGTTTATTAATAATTGCTTGCTTTGCTTCTACATTTAATGTTGATGAATTGTTAGCAGATTTAGTATCGGGTGCTGACATTACAACATATTCATCCACGCAACGACCTCTCCTCCGGTTTGGTATATTGTCTAACAAAATGTGGTTGTATTGTTTACATAATTAATGACTATTAAAGTGTACTATATACCCATACTATTCGCACTGCCTGAACTTGAATAACCTCCTGACTTAGCCAAACATATCTGCTCATAAGACTTTGGAACAAACTTTTTTCTGGTTATTGTAGGTTTAATCGGACTATTGTCTAAACTATTATTTAACAAATTATTAAGAGATGCATTTTTTTTAGGTGGAAGCGGAGGATTTCCAAGCGTTGTTAGGTCGTTTGCAGACTTTTGTAATATCGGTTTCATTTTTAAATAATGTGGCTTTTTATTAGATGATATTTTTTCTAATGAACTCATGGAACATGAGAGACCATTTGATTTAGTGCTAAAAAGAAGGATGCATTTAAATCATTTAAGCTTTTTTTCAATATATGGGTAAAAATATATGGGTATTTTCAAGGTTTCGCGCATATATATAAAAGCAACACGATCAATCTCAGTTCATGATTAATGAAAGCAAGCATTATATACATTATGTACAAAATCCAGATGTTATGCTTACATTTAAGAATATATAACGATATATACATATGCGATTAGTCCTATGATCTCTTTGGCATACTTTTAATAATCTCTAACAAATTAAGAATTCATAGTCTCATAACCCTATAAATTTAAAAATATGCTCCGTTTCCAGGTTTCAAACTAATACAGATTATGAGTAATTTAATGAAATATTTAAATTAAAATTAAATATTTATTTATAACTATAAGTTGATCTTAAAAGTTTTATCTAAAAACATATTTGGCAAATACTTCAGAAGGATATAGCCGTTCCATAGATGATAATGCTAATCCAAATTACATTTTCCATAACTTAAGCTCACATAGATTTTATTGTAGTATAATCTAATTGATTCACAATTTGCACCCAAAATAAAAACTATTCACTAAAACCACATCAAGAAAACTGATACATAGGATCGAATACGATATCTAAAGATTAAAGACAAAATCAATTAATTCTTATGCTCAACGACAGTGTAGTTAAAATTCTTTTCGATTTCTGGATAAAACAAATAAAACAAGAAAATTTGAACACAGAAATAAAGAGAGGAAAGTACTGGTGCTATGGGATATATAACGCGAACATTATTATAAGATATACCATTCAGCACTAGAGTAAAACTTTCAATGGAATAGGACAAGACTGTCTCACATTTAAAAAAAACAACAATGGAAATAAACTGTAATTCGAATGAAACCCAGCTTATACACTATATCTATATATGTTGAAAAAGATATATCCACCGTCAGATAAAATATCATACTGCAACTGATTAAATATATAGATTGATAGAAAATATATTGTAGATTGTATTGAA